CCCGGGGGGACTTGGGAAGCCTAGGTGGGAATCTTAGCGGGCCATGCAAAAGAGAAAGGGCTTGGAGGGACATCTGTATGCTGAATACAGCATAGGACAGAGAGCTCTCTGATGTCAGGGAACATTTCCCCCTCTTCCCATGCTGTACTCTTAAAAATTTACTCCAGACATGGGATTTAAAACAGAGAGCAGAAACAACCCTTATGAATGGTAGAAAACCAAGAAGGAGGGCTTCTACAGACAGGCAGTCCTCAACTCACTCGTGTCCGTTGGCTGCTAGGCACGGAAGACCAGTCGTGCCACATTTTGGAGAAAAGCCATGTCAAATGCAGCAGGAATTCTTCCGCAACCCCAGATGTAATTATATTACCGTCAGGGCCGGCCTGAGGTTTCTTTGCACCCTAGGCGGGACTAACTTGTGGCGCCCCTCCGATGAGGTTGCCTTGTGGCGCTCCCCTCATGCTTGAGCTGCCGCTAACCCTCTTCCCGGGCCGGCGGCTGCTGCTTTATTATAGATGTTAGAAATATATTCTAAAAAAGGAAAGGGGAAGGAAACGAAAGCTAGGGGCTTAAAGGAGAATTGGGACGCAATTGGGACACAAGAAGGCCAAAGAACAGGAAAGGAGGAAGGGCATTCTCAGGTGGCCTCCTGGGGCTGAGGACGCTTCTTTTAGCAGATCCCTTCCCGGAGATGTCCCTGGGCGGTGAGAAAGCCCTGGCGGAGAGCAGCTTCCCCAGCCAGACCACCCGCCTGCCGCCCCTCCCCTACACGGCCACTTCTCGCCGGAGCCGGCCTCCTCCTCCTTGTCGTCAAGCGGCGCCAACAGCAGCCTGCTGTGCCCCAAGCCCCTCTTCAGCCTGGTGAGCGGCCTGGTGGGCATGGCCAACCAAGCGCCCCCCTCCTTCCTGGAGGCATCGAGCCAGCCCTCCCCCAGCCCGTTGGGCTCCTCACTGCAGTTCGCGCTACCCGCTGGTGGCCAAGGATTCCTTCCAGCTGCCCATCATCCCGGACTTCCTGTTCCTACAGCAGCCGCCGGCGCCAGGCAAGCTGGGCAGCCTGGAGCAGAAGCCCTCCCCCAGCCCGCCGCCCTCGCTCACGCCGC